GCCCTGAGGTGCTGTGTTTCTCTCTCTCTCTCTCTCTCTCTCTCTCTCTCACACACACACACACACACACCCCTCACAGCCCATGAGCTCATTCTGCCCATGGCTGGCAATCTGGGTGGGATCGCTTCTGCTTGAGTTCTTTGTCCAGCTCTGTTTCAAATGACTCATGAGTGGTTCTTGCCTTCTCCCCCAGGGAGACCCCCTGCTTGGCCTCATAAACCTTCCCAAGGAGGCAACATTTCCTGATAAGTGGCCTCTCGCCCCACTCCTCCCAGACCACTGGAGAGAGCAGTCCCCCCAACTCCTTGGCCAGGGTAGCAGCCAGCAGCTTCCCCACCACCTCCTCTGAAGCCTGGAGCAGGGAGTGTGGGAGCCTCCACTCCTCATCCTCCTGCACTCTCTCTGCCAGGACACTGATGCTCAGAGGGGTCTCCATCTGTTCTCTGTCCTCCCTGTCTGAGGGGAGAGGAGTGATTCCTCATTCTCTCTCTGTGTGTCTCTCATTCTCTGTCTCTGTCATTCTCTCCCTCATTTATTCATTCTCTCTCCCTCTCTCTTTCAGGCATTCTCTTATTCTGACTCTGCCTCTCTTTACCTCTCTCTGTCTCTTTCTTTTCCTTATTCTCCCATTCATTCATTCTCTCTTACTCTCTCTCTCACTCCATGTCTCTCTCCCCATCTTTGTGTCTTTGTCTCTGTCTCTCATTCTCTCTCTTTTTCTGTGCCTCTCACATTCTCTCATTCATTCTTTCTCCCTCTCTCACATTCTTTCATCTTGTTTTTCTGCCTCTCTCTCCCCACCCCCTCTCTCTCTCCATCTCTCTCTCATTGATTCTGTCTCTCTCCACCTCTCTCTCTCATTCATTTTCTCTGTCTTTCCCCATCACACTCTGACTCGGGCCCATGGCACAGGGTACTGAGGAGGTCCAGCCACCGGACTGGACAATTGTGTCAGGAGTGAGGAGGGGGTAGGAGAAGTCACCGCTGATCCTGCTTCCCAGTCTGGCTGCTGTGCATGGTAAGGCTGCAGGAGGAGCCCTGGGGAGAGGCATCACTCAGTTCCCCAAGGAGGCTTTTCCTGCAAGGCCTCAGGGAACAAGCCCTTGTATGTGCTCAACTTGCCTCTCGGTGAGCGGAATTACCCCAAGAATGTGATGGCTGGTTCTATTTGACAGAGATACCCTGGCTTTCCGGAGGGGCCTTACCAGTGAGAATGCTTGAGTCCAGAGCCTTCTGAGTCCCACACAATCCCCACCACACCAAGCCTGCAAAAGATAATGGGGTGGGCCTGGCCTAGGGAGGTGGGCACCTCAGCAACATTGTAGGAGTCTGTGCAATTTGGTGATCTGCTGAGGCCCAGGCTGCCCTGCCCCCTCCTCACATTGGCATAATCTGTGTGGATCCCAGCAGTCTGCAGGGCAGGGGTCTCCAAAAGTGGCTGGGTGTTGTTGAGTGCTCTCTTTCTGTGGCAGAACGTCTTCCATAGCCCAGGTCCCCTCCCTGTGCCCGCCCCGCCCCCTTGGAAAGCATCCCTGAACCCTGGGTGTGTAGGGCCAGCCTTAACCACTTCCTGCTCTCCCTCACACCCTTAAGGATTCTGTCAGCTGTAGAGTGTGTCTATTCCAATTACACATCTGGGAGCTGAGGCCCTAGTCACTGGATGGGTTCTTGGAGCCACAAGAACTGAAACTCCATGGAAACTGACCCCCAAGAGACCCTGCTCTGACTAAAGCAGCTTTCTGGGTCTCCCAGAGTTGGTGTTGGTTCACAACAAGTGGAGCAAGTGTCCTGTAGTCCCTAAGGGGTTCTGATTATTTCCTTATTGCCAATGTATGGTTACTCTGGTAGAAGGCTGGGAGAAAGAGTACAGTGTAAGTTTTTTGTGATATAATGGGGTCCTTCCTCAAGAAGACCTGGCCTTCCTTTCATTCAAGGAGTTCTGCCAAAGAGCTCAAGGCTGGGGACCGATTGAGAAGCCTTAACTCTTATGACTGGCTTCTCTGGCCTGGGTGGCTGTGCTCGGTGACAATGTACCTTTCAGCCAGGGAAGCCCCAATGCCCTGGCATCCACAACAGAAACACAGCCATCAGCCAGAGCATAGTATACTGGAGGAGAAAATGTTCCCCCGCTCACACTGTGCCCAAGGTTGTCTGGATGCAGCTAAGTTGGAAAAATCAGGATGTAAGGACAGGCATTTGACCCCTAGCTTGCTGTGTACGGGTGGGTGAATCCTGTCATCTGGGAAGGGTGACTCTTCCCAGATGGTCAAGTGAATCTCTGGCATTACCCTGCACCAGGTACTGGGCCCCACCACCCACATGCTTTGGGTCACTAGACTTTCTGATATGTTCCTGACTGGATCTGGGCCCAGGTTTCAAGTGGGGATTTGGTGGGAGCACTTAGTGAATTAATAGCTCCCCTTTCTCTGAGAAAAAGGAACCCTTCCCAAGTCCACAAATAGTAGATTGTCCTCATCAGTGCCCTTAGTCAGGTGCAGGGACAGAGCCTGCAGCCCCTCGAGTCTGTAGCCCCTCAGCCAGTCCACTGGCTGCCTTTTTCCTCCCGGACTTCTTGAGCAGCCAGTGTGACAGGACTCCACTCCCAGTGGAAAGGAGTTTTGTAATGCCTGCCAGTCTTTGTGACACGCATTCATAATCTCACACATCATTTTTCTTGGAGGCAATCTCCGTGCCTTTAAACATGTCATCACTCTAGGGTTCCCATCCCCTGCCTCTTTCCACCTCCGCTGCCTCTCACTTACTGGGTGCTGAAGCTAGGCAGTTGGAACTGCCTTGAAGCCCATGGGGGGGGGGGTCTCCCTGGGGGATCCCACAGCCTGGGTGGGCTGGGCTGCCTTCTGTGTTCCATTCGCCTGCCAGTCTTTTTGTGGTGGTAGGGTGGGGGGTGGCCCAACAAGGTGTGAGCAAAAGAAGACAAGCGAGACCCTTCTCGCCCAGGGAAGGGGTCCCAGGAATGGTCACACCCAATAATAAAGCAGAACCACATGCCAGGGGTCTCACAGTATGACATTATAGCTTAGAAAGAAACCACATCATACTGGAGCAGGGTGGGTCTCAGGTGGAGAAACTGAGGCCCAGAGAGGAAATGATCTTTCCAGGCCCATTCTCCTCCCCCACTCCACATCCACCTGGCAGGACAGGGTGTGCTCACGGTGGGTGGCCCATATGGCCCAGACTTCACAAGAGAGGCAGAGCCAGTCAGCCTATGAGGTGATCAGCTTGGCTGAGACCATCGTGGGGGTGAATTTTCTGTTCTATTTTCTGCTTCAATTTTTCCTCTAAGGACTCTTTGTATTTGCCTGTCCTGTACTAGGTCCCTGAGTGGTGAATTTTCACAGCTGTCATGACAGCCCAGACTTCCAGAGGTGTTCTCCCATACCCCTCAGGCATGGGAGTCACTGTGTCAGAATCACCCCCTCTAAATTCAGAAGGCACTGGCTGACAGAAAGACCTCCTCTGAAGGTCCATGTCTCTGGGACCTGAAAGGACATGGCTTGGCCTGACCACTATACCTTTATATTGTTATCCAGAGCTGGCAGCCCAGCTCCTCTGCTGCAGGTGTCTGTCCTGTACTGATCAGGGTCTGCAGCACAGCAGTGTTCTGTAAGCCCTGTAAGC